TTCGTATTATGTAAAAAGGCAAGGTAAATTGTAGCCCTGTAACAAATTTTCCAGCACAAATGATCAAGTAATTTTGGATGCCTTAAGAGGGATTAGGTTAGTTTTCTTTTTTTTTTTAAATCTTACTTAAATGGAAAATGTACTTGTTTCCAAATAATGCCAGCTAATTCAAGTGTTCCAAAAGGAAAAACTGAAGTATTCGATTAAATTTTCATCAGGAGTAAATTTTATCCTATGTATGCTAACAGATGATATTAATTAAATGTTCACATGTATATAGTATTATACAAACTGTTACAATTAGTACATTTTAACTTTCATTAAAATATTGTAACCAAAATTTGTTTACAATTAAGAAAGTAGACCTTTTCGGAAGCTCAGATTTGTCCATTTGATGAACAAATCAGACAGTAAAGAAATTGATTGCAGATAGTAAAGAAAAAACTAAGTTTTTTACCTGATGAGGGTAGGTCATTTGGATCCACTGTCCCTAGTACAAACAACAGATTGTTGGTATATATATAATTTGCTTTAAAACAGACCACCCTAAAAGTATTTGAAAACCTGAAAGATGGTCAAGAAGATGCCAGGTTAAATTAGAGGGGGAGGGGACCTTGAGCCAAACAGATCACATTATCAGCATTAAAACAAGTTTAATGCTTTGCCAAACATTTGCCAAGCAAATGCCAGGTGCAAATTCATCAGAGAATAAGGGGAATGAAAGCCAAAGTCCAGACAGCATGTGAAGATTGAAAGTTGCTACCACACATTAAGAAGGGACCTCAAAGATACTAACTAACTAAAACTAGACCTGCTCCCCATCCTTCAGTCTTTGGTGCACTATAGGAAGACTGCCTTGCCAGTGGCAGACATGTCTGAGAAATTATGGTCACTACTAGCCCACTTGCACATTTACATCCTGGTTATACCTAGTGTGACTAGGCCAAGGAGTCTCCCAAAGAGTGACTTGTTTTAAGTCAAGCTCCCCAGGAGCTTAGCAGAAGCAGACATAAATCTTCTCTGGAAGAAGCATATTTATCCCAACCTCAGCAAATCAATCCCCTACAAATTATTATAAAGGGTAGAAACCACTGTCAAAAATAACCAGGGCACATAAGAAACAAGGCAAATAGAGAACCACTAACAGGGAAATTTTAAAACAGCAAAAATAAATTGGCATTGTCAATTAGCATGGTTTTCAGACATATAAAACAAATATACTTATTCAGTTTAACAAAATTAATAATCTTAATAATTGCAGAAAACAGTAAACTAAAAAGTTAACATAGCAAATTTGAGTGGGGGTGAAAAGGAAAAAAATAACCAAAATAAAAATCTCAGTGAACATTTTGGCAATAGATGGGATTTAGCAAAAGAGAATTCAGAACCAGAGGATAAATTAGAAGAAATTATTTGAATGCTGCACGGAGAGACATGGTAGAAGAGATTACAGTGGAGAAGAGAAGAAGTGTGAAGGATGCAAATGTAGATTTGATAAAAGTCCTGAAAGGAAAAGAGAGTGGCTGAGGATTTTCAAGAATTAATGAAAGATATCAGTCGGTCAAATGCCAGCAAATCACGAATCAGGAATAATAAAAAGAAAACACAAACTAGAGACATCATAGAGAAAATTCTTCAGAAAAAAATTTTTAATGACAAATTACCTTGAAAAGAAGAATATCTGACTTTTCAATATCAAAAACCAGTGCGATGATATTCAAGTGTTCCGAAAGAAAATAACTGCTGATGTAGATTTCTACACACTGTGAAATCTTTCAAGAATGAAAGTGAAAGACATTTTTAAAGAAACACAATTATCAGCTAATCACTAAAGAAGCTTCTTAAAGATGGACAACAGACAGAAGTAAAAGTAAACACAGAATTTCTCATAAATAAGAAATGAAGAGCAAAAGGAAGAGGTAAATATGTGAATAAATGTAAGTAAACATTGCTCATATAAGAGAGCAGTAATGCCTTGTGGGGCTCTAATCAGAACAAACACCTAAAATATCAGACAATAATTATTAAATTGCAGAATGGGAACAGGTAGAAAATAGTTAAAACCACCAACATCCTTGTATTATCAGGAAGAAGTAAAGGTTTTGATTAACTTTAGACTTCAATAAGTACATAACTAATTTTTTTTTTCTTGCACTATGGTTACAACTTGGGAAACCAGGGCCTGACCCAGAATGTGTATAATTTCTATGGTAATAGTTTAAAAAAAATAGGAAAATATTATATAATTTCCAAACTAATAGAAGAGAGAAATGGAATGACCATTAACATTTGTATATTAAAATGAAAGGTCCAGAAACAAAATATTCAGGAAGCAAATGGGCTCAGAGGACTCGCTGTACTTGAGAYCAAGATTTATTATGAAGCTCTGATAACTGAAGATGGGCTTTAATGCAAGGACAGATCAGCAGATGGAACTAAAAGAGAACCTGAAAACAGACAGATGTACTTATGTATGSTTGATATACTACAGAGATGACACTGCAAAGAAGAGAAAGAGACTTTTCAATAAATGCACTTGGTTACAAAATCAACTCCAGATGGATTTTTTTAAAAGGCCTAAATATCAAAGGCAACACATAAATCTTCTGTGATAATTTGAGATAGGAAAAGATTTTTAATAAGACCAAAAACCATAGCCATAAAGGAAAAGATTAATAAATTTAATTAAAATTTAAAATCTTTRGCCATCAGAAGACCCATAAAAAGATAAGCCATTGATGGAGAAATATATTTGTAGCATCTGTTACTGACAAAAGGTCTTGTATCCAAAATATGAAAAAAAAAAGTGATGAAAAAGTAAGACATCTCAGTAGCAAGACTGGCATTTCACAAAGGTAGAGTTTCAATAAATACATGAAATGTTTCTCAACTTCATTTGTAAGAAAGAAAATGAAAAACAATGAAATATGTGGTAAGTATTCACAAAATTTGCAAAATTTTTCAAATCCAATAGTACTGAGTGTTGGTGTGAATGTGGAGCAATACAACTGTCATTAAATGCTGGTAGTAATATAAATTTAAAGCATTGAAAAAGAGTTGAGCATTTTCTAATAAAGGTAACCTAGCAATCACATCCCTAAGTATACACCCTAGAGAAAAAGCATGGACTTAAGTTAAATGTATTAATAGTGCAAGAATAGTCACAGCAACATTGTTCATAATAGCTTGAAACTTCATCAAAAGTAAAATAGAGACTGGGGTTGTGGCTCAGTGGCAGAGCGTTTGTCTAGCATTTGTGAGGCACTTGTTCAATTCTCAGCACCGCATATATAAATAAAGGTCCATTGACTATATGTATATGTATACACACACATATATATATATATATACACACACATGCACATACTTTTTTTTTTTTTAAGGCAAAATGGATGAGTCAAGCCTGGTAGTTCACACCTGTAATCCCAGTGGCTTGAGAGTCTGAGGCAGGAGGATCACAAGTTCAGAACCAGCCTCAACAACTTAGTGAAGTCCTAAGCAACTTAGTGTGAAACCCTATCTTTAAAAAGAGGGGGGGATGTAGATATAGTTCAGTGATAAAGCACTCTGGGTTCAATCCCCAGTGCCTCCCACAATAAAAAAGTAAAATGGAGAAATTCTTAATATTCTGCAATGATGAAAATAAACTTCAATTGTCAACATGAATGAGGCCACAGTGTTGAAGGAAACAAGCCATAAGAATACATACAATGTGATTCATTTTATAATTATATCAAGTTGTATAACCAGGCAACCCTGAAATATATTGTTCATGGCAAGAGTTGGCAAACCTCTTTGAAGGCCAGCTAGTAGATAGTTGAGATTTAACTGCTATGGGGTCTTTTTTGCAACCACAGCTACCCTATACATAATGTGAGAGTAGCCCTAGACTGCCCATTGCTGTGTTCCAGCAAGAACTAATCCCTAATTTACGGGTGCATGTATTTGAGATAAAAGTACTTTTTAAAGGAGGGAGTGGGGGAGGAAATGATAACCATATAAGACAAGCTTGTGAAGGAGGGTTTGTTGTTAGGGAAGAATAAATGGGAACTTCTAGAATGCCAGCAGTATTATCTTGTGACTTGTGTGGAGTTTCTTAGGTGTTTGCTTTGTATTTGAAATTTTTTAATATATATTTATTTTAGTTGTAAATGAACTTTTATTTTACTTATATGTGGTACTGAGACTTAAACCCAGGGCTTCACAGATGCTAGGCAAGTGCTCTACCACTGAGCTATAACCCCAGCCCCTGTATTTTAAATTTGTAGATACGAGTGAATGATTTGATTTGATAAGTTTTAAAAATGAACATGTACAACCAGAGAAAATGAAAAATTGTGCTCCATTTGTGTACTATGAATCAAAATGCATCTGCTGTCATGTATAACTAATTAGAACAAATAATTTTTTTTAAGGTTAAAAAATTAAAATAAACAAAAATTGCAGCCAGGCACAGTTGCTCACGCCTGTAATCCCAGCAGCTCTGTAGGCTGAGGCCGGAGGATTGAAAGTTCAAAGCCTGCCTCAGCAACAACAAGGTGCTAAGCAACTCAGTGAGATCCTGTCTCCAAAAAAAAAAAAAATACAAAAATAGGATTGGGGATGTGTGGCTCAGTGTTCAAGAGTCCCTGAGTTCAATCCTTGGTACCAAAAACAATAAAATAAAAATTGCCAGTGCTTCCTTAAATAATAGTTAAATATCATTTAGTTTTATGTGAATTCTATTTTGCATTTAAATTACTCTGCTTGTTTTCTGAAAATTTTCTAAAGAATTTAAATAGTAATCTAAAGTTTGTCTTACATATTTCCTTTAAAATCATGTAAACATTTAATTAAAGTAAAAATATAATATAGAACACTACTGCTTTTGGTTAATCACTCAACATATTAATACTAGAAAATACATGTGAGAGGCATGGATAAGTGGTTTGCAAGTACTATATTGGCTTATTTGCACCAAAGTATTGACAACTGTCCTCTTTTCATTCTTTTATTCACAGGCTCAGTAGATGAAGGCGTTACTGAGGGGTTGCCTACACTTCAAAGCACTTCTAGCACTAATGCTCATGCGGATGATGATGATCGGTTAGTTCTAATGTAATATGTGGTTTTCTTGTAAGGGTTGTGCTTACAACTCTAAATGTTTTATCTCAAAAGAGTATAAGAAATTTATCAGGACCTCGTGTATACTTTTCAGAGTAATGAGGTAGCATCATCACATTAGACTGCCTATAAAAGTTATAGATTTTTATTTTTGTTTTTCTGGCATTTCCAAAATTATCTAGTCCATTGCTTTAAATAGTATCTATATCAGAGGTTAGCAAACTATGTACCACAGGACAGTTCTAGACTGCCATCTTTATTCTATAAATTAAGTATTAGAGGAATATAACCACATTATTTCTTATATATCATTGGTGGGTGGCAGAGTTAAGTGATTGGAACAGAGMTCATATGGTATGCAAAGCCAAAATATTTACTATCTGGCCTGCTACAAAAACTGTACCAGTCCTGATCTGTATACCCTGGTTCCCAAGTCACTGTCCTCACTTGACCCTTCCTACTTATACATAGACATATAAGGGGGATTTCATACATAACACCAAGACAGAACTATTGATTTCTATTTCCTATCTAAGTCCTCTTTCTTCTTTCTTTCATTTTTATCCCTCATTTTTTTAAACACAATCTCAAAATTACTCATGATTTTTGCTTCCCTCTCCACTTTCTCTCTCATACTTAATCCTTAAGTTCTATCAACTGTACCTCCAAAATATATCCCCAAGCCCCAGTCTATTTTTCCTCTCTATGCCATAACCACCCTAGTTTAAGTCATCACCATCTTCTGCCTCATCTGCTACAGTAGCTTTCAAACTTGCCCCTGATTTCATTATTCCACAACTTTATTTTCCATGTGGTAGCCAAAATCATCTTTTTTTTTTTTTTAAATCAGATTAGGTTGTGTTGCAAGCTGCGGATACTTGCTATTCTTCATTCATATTTAAAACCTAAAATTGCTTGCTCATTTTTGTATTTTGTTGTTTTGTGGTACTAGAAGGGAACCTGGGGCCTTGAACTTGCTGAGCAAGCTTTCCGTAACTGAGCTGTACTCTATAGCCCACTATGCCTTTTAAAACAACTGTGTGATACAACTTTTGCCTGCTCCAATGAAATTATTCTCCCTCTATACTACATTCTAACCACATTGCCCTTTCAGTTCTTGAAATACCCATATTTGTTCCTTCCTGCCTCTGGGCATTTTTGCCTCTCTCTGTCCTTTACCTGAAATGCTTTCTTTTCCATTTCCATTCATGTTGTTGGCTCCTTCTGGGCCTTCAGATCACTGTYTCAGTGTTGGTTATCAAGGAGGCCTTTCCTGATAAACAGTCTAAACCAGTACCCCATCACTATTAGATCTTCATACTTTTATTCTCTGCTTTGATCATTTTCTTGATTATTGTTTGCCTCTCACCACTGAATATATATACCCCACTGAATGATTAAATTCCTCCTCATAGAGATTTCAGGACAATCTTAAAAATTATATTTGATGAAAAATTCAAAGGATTCAAAGAACCCAGTAAGGATTATTGTTCTTGGATAGCTAAATCCGGCTGAGATTATCAACCAGAATCATTTGCATGAAGTAATAAAAAGATAAATAAGCAGAAGTATGCCCAGATTCTGTAATTTCAAATATTACTCAGTTCTTCTGTTGTTTATTAAATATGGTACTGAATGATAGGCATATGGAGTTGAAATGCATAGCCTTTTCCCTCAAGGAGTTCCATCCATTTTCAAAGAAAAAGAGAGGTTGAAGATAGGCAAGTAAACAAGTCATCATTAAATCATCTGCAGAGAGTTGGGTTGCTTTGCCTAGGATGATATCCAGCTAAGCTACTGATAAAGAAAGCTTCAAGGAAGAGGATGTGACAGCTCAACAACATTTTTTTATTTATTTATTTTTACTTTTATAGTTGTAGATGGATAGCATTTTTTATTTTATTTGTTTTTATGTGGTGCTGAGGATTGAACACAGTGCCTCACACGTGCTAAGCAATCACTCTGCCACTGAGCTACAGCCCCAGCCCCCTCAGCTACATTTTATAAAATGATTAGGCAGTATCTAGACAAATAAGGTTAGAGAAGGGATTAAATGTCTAAAAGCACAGAATTGGCAGAGATTATGGAACAGTGGAGGGATCATTTGGTATAGGATATATTTAGGGAGTATGACAAGAAATGAGGCTGAAAAGGTAGATAGAAATCAGATATAAGGAGTATTGTATGCTTTTTAAAGGGGTTGAGACTGTATTGTAAGATAAGTTTTTGCAGGCTTTTAAAGGAAGACTGACTTAATCAGAGTTCTGTGATTCCATGAGAAGGGAGTGTGGTGCTAAACAAAGTTATTAATTCAAGTTTGTATGGAGGAAGCCTAAATAAGTAGTAGCAAAAGGGGACTAGARAGATTAATGATATCTAAGATAAAATAGTCTATGATAGGTTTTGTAGTTATATGTTCATGCTTAACTTAAGATGCTACATATTCTGGTTAGTAACATTGTTTTTCATATTGTTCTAGGTGAAACTCCTAAACAGTCAATCTGTTTTCTAAGAAGTCTTTAAGTGTTTCTTCTTTTGTTCTTTTAAAGTTGACCTGCAGAAATGTTTTTTCAACTTAAAAATCAGAGCCTGGTTGCCTTTTTCGGTTTATTTTTTTAGATTGGAAAGTGTTCAGTATCCCTACCAACTCTACATTGCTCCTTCCACCAGCAGTACAGAACGACCAAGTCCAAATGGTCCAGACAGACCTTTTCAATGTCCAACCTGTGGGGTGCGATTCACCCGTATTCAGAACCTAAAACAGCACATGCTCATCCACTCAGGTAATGCCATTTTCCCTGTTGGTTCATGAATGAGTGTTCTAAAACATTTTATTTTTGAATCCTAATTAAAATAGAAAACAGGTGCTTTTGAGTAAAGAAAAAAGGGGAAAACTCTGGAAGTCAAATGAGAACAGATTAGCTTAGATTCATTGCTGAAATGGTGCATTGTCAGGAAACTATTTTGTCTAATGCATTTCATTACATATTCTGATTCAATAGTCAATGTGTAATATGTATATTAAAAGATACTGGGGAAAATAATAAATATTGGGTCTATTTGGTATGTTTACATATGTAAGATAGAGAATTGCACAGATGGCAAAGGAAATGGGTTTATAAGAGTATACATGTATTTTTTAATCATTCTTATTATGTTAACTACTGTAAATTTGAAAATACAAAAAATGCTTCAAAAGATTTAATATTTAATTATTAATATAATTTTGTTATGTAATCCTAATCTCTCTGCTCTGATTAGTATAGCTATATTTTTATAGTATAAGATTTTAGGTAAATGGTAGATCAGATTTTGATGAAGTTTTGTGACCACATAAATTTACCAGGATTCTTATGGGTAAAACACTGCCCTCTGATGGACAAGAGATTTTTGCTGCTGTTTTCAGCTATGTTAGTACCTCACTTCTCATTCTGTAGCTAGATCTTAAAAGTTCCTATCCTAATGCCASTTCTCTGAGACATTGTTAAATCCATGATTGTGTTTTGTAAGATGTTTTAGTTTGTTTTTCTTTTTCCGTAAAACTGTGATAATGAATTTAAGGAAACAATGTTTTATAATTCAACAATTTTTTATCAATAGCATAATAAATACTCAAAAAGCCATTTCATCAAATGATGGTTCTGTTGTGATCATGACATACAGTAATGTTAGAATTTTCCTTTTTTCTTCTCATTTCTTTCTGAGATGGGGGGGACATTTTCAGTTTAAGTCTCTTTAGTGAAATGAATATGTTCTTTGGTGGAGATTTTGGTTCTATCTAAATTCTAAGTAGTTAAAATATGTTTTGAAGTCTGTAAATGAGATGATTTAGAAGATTATTCAGAGATCAATTTCAGTATACATTACCTAATTTGCCCTCTTCCATTCTTTTTTTTTTTTAAGCACTAATGACTTCAAATACTCTGCACCTTTTCTGCATAACTGAATTAGAATGTTTTTCTTCTAATAACGTTTGTCTTTTTAAATTATATCTACAAAATTATAGTTCAGAAATTTGTGAGGTATTTGACCTTTACAGTTCATTTTGTTCTCAGATGTTATTTTGATTTGCTTTATTTTCTAGGAATTAAACCATTTCAGTGTGACCGCTGTGGGAAAAAGTTCACCAGGGCTTACTCGCTAAAGATGCATCGCCTAAAGCATGAAGGTAAACGCTGTTTCCGGTGCCAGATATGTAGTGCTACTTTCACTTCCTTCGGGGAATATAAACACCATATGAGGGTTTCCCGGCACATTATCCGCAAGCCTCGGATTTACGAGTGCAAAACATGTGGCGCCATGTTCACCAACTCTGGAAATTTAATCGTGCACCTGAGGAGTCTGAACCATGAAGCATCAGAGCTAGCAAACTACTTCCAGAGCAGGTGAGGTGCACAACGAAAATCCAACCAGGAAAACTGCTTTCTAAACTCTCTTCCTGCTTTTAGGGCAGCCTGTTGTGTTATTTTAAATCAGGTTGCCAGCTAATCAGTCACATTCATTTTAAATTCCCAGGATCCATACTTTGATCTCCTGATCTGATAAAATTTTTTGCTGGATCTCCTAAAAAATTATTAATATTTTATAGTTGGTATTATAAGTTTATTCCTAAACAATAAAAGTTATATTTTTTAATATATATATATACACACAAACACACACACTTATATATTCCTACAGATGTAGACTAGTTATCCTCTTGATTTTTTTTTTTAAAAAGTATGAAATTAAAGTAATTTTGTAGTGGATCTGGAATAGATCTTAGAAARTATACCATGTCAGGTGATACTTAGTAATATTACATTACTTCAGACTCTGGATAGTAGTAAAATTCTTACCCACTTCCCTTTTTTTAAATCCTATGTAAAGGAATGTTCATTTACCAATAAGAAGGAAACTTTGATGGCAATTATAATGGATATGATTGTTTAGATCCAATGAAGTCTCTCTTATTTTCTTTCAGTTTAGAGCTCCATCTTTTAATAATAATAATTTATAATAGAGTGATCTTTTTGATTTATAGGGTATCCAAGGAAATCAGGTTCTAGTCCTAGCTCTGCCACTAATTGTGTTGATTAAGCATGTCACTTTACAGATGAAGAACTTGAAACTTAGCAAAAGATAAAATGTAAGCTCTAAACAGAATGGTTTCTAAAGCCTCCTCTAGAAATAAAATTCTATTTGTTTTTTTTTTTAATACTTTATAAGAATTGTACCTCTGTAGGAATCCTTAGTTTCTCATATAAATCTATTTAAAATTACTTCTGTTTTTAAAACCTTATTTTTCAATAGATTCCAAACTATTTCTGCATAGATTTTGTTTTTCCCCTTCAAACTAGATACTGATTTTGTTTAATCATTTCTAATTCTAAATGTGATTRTCATATCACAACCTATATTACACATACCATATTAAACAGTCATTCTGAAATACAATAGTGTTGGAGCTAACCACTCCTCTCTTTGTATCTCCCCTGTGTCCTCCACTCATCTTGTCTAATCCTGAAGACATTTTAGAAACTAGAACACAGAACATTTGAAATTGCTTTGAAATGACCAGATTTTTATTTTGCTACCAATATTGAACAATGAGATTATACAATGGCCATATCAAAAGTATTACTTTTTGACAGTCCTGGTATATTGAACTTTTTTAGTTTCAATAATGAAGATTTACATATAGCATCTAAGATAATACTTACTTCACAGTGTTTATTCTTTAACTACCAAAAAGTGAGTATAATAGAAAATACAGAAAAGTATAAAGAAATTTTAAAATCTTTTATCTCTTCTGGGGAAAATTTATACTTTTGATTAAATTTCATTATACTTTACTGTCTATATTTCCTGTGGAAATTAATAATTAAATAACTTTTGGGAACTGACCTGTAACCAATCATGGGTATTTATTTCCAAATTCTGATTCCACAGTAATTTGTTACCATTTTCAAATCTAATAGCAAGATAAATTGTTTCTCTGTATAGTAGATTATGTGTAAGGTCACTTATGCATAAGAACTTAGTTTATTAACTAACTTGTATCCAGTTAGCAATACAAGGATGGTTTTATRTACTTCTCAGTGTAATCCAAGAAAAGTTAAGCATTTAAGTTACTCAAATAATCTTTGCTTTAAGCTAAGGTCTTCTCTAGAAGGAGCTACTTATATTTGTTGGTATACAGACAGTCCTCTACATAGAACAAGAAAGGCTGTTTTAGGTGTCCAAAGGGTCACTGAAGTGATCATTAATCTTATATATTGTTGGTAGGGAGAGTTGATGCACTTTGGTTCTACTGATGACCTTGGTTCATATTCAGGAAAATTTATAAGTTGAGAGTTCCTGAGATTTAACCTTCATTGAAGAATTAGTGAAATGAAAAGTCCCTATCTTGTTTTACATATTTATCTATTACTGGTTTGAAAATTAACTCTGTATTTCATCCTTTGCCTCTTATCTAGTGATTTCCTAGTACCGGACTACTTAAACCAGGAGCAAGAAGAGACCCTTGTTCAGTATGATCTTGGAGAACACGGTTTTGAAAGCAACTCCTCTGTTCAAATGCCTGTAATTTCACAGGTCTCCTCGACCCAGAATTGTGAAAGCACTTTTCCCTTGGGGTCTCTTGGTGGGCTGGCAGAAAAAGAGGAAGAAGTGCCAGAGCAGCCAAAGACCAGTGCTTGTACTGAGGCTACCAGAGATGACCCCCCAAAATCAGAGCTATCTTCTATAACTATTGAGTAATTTTGTGATTTGGCTTCATTTTTGGTTTTTGGAAAGTGCCTGTGCTTGGTCTTGTACATTTAAAGTTAATTTAATTTTTTAAACAAGAAAGGGTTTGGGAAAGAACTTCCCTTTTCACTTTGTAAGCCCTTTGACTAATGTTTTATTTTTCATAACTGAGAGAAAGATTGCTTCTGTAAGTACACAGCAACATGATGTGGAAACATAATAGGAACTATGATACTTAAGGAAAACCAGTTGACTTAAACTATATACCAGTTTTTCCTTCCATTGTTAAAAGTAGGCTGACAGCGGATCATTAGGTAAAGAAGAAATCAGATGACTGTTGATCCTTCTGAGATGAAAGGGTACTTGAATAATTATTAAACAGAAATTGACAAATGGCTCAAGTAGATGTTTGCTCCTATACACAGGAAGTTGTAAAGCCTATTGTTTTGGAAATATTTATGGTAAGCCTTCTTAAAAATTATTAAGGTAAATACTTTTGAAATCCAGCATACTTTTTTTTTAAGCTTTGTCATTTCTATTATGATTCTTCATGGTGAAAATTTGGTATTAGGTAGKCATTCTCTGTACCTTTATAGTACCACTCCAAAGGTAAAGAACCATGATTAAGAAAAGTCAGGCTATCAGGAATGTAGAATGAAGCATGTAAATCCCTGCTTCATAGAAACTATTTTAATACTGCTTTTCTAACTAAAATTSATGTTTACCTGGTTTTTGAATGTTAATGCCTGGCTAACTAGGTCATTGCCCCAATCAATTTTCCCTTTGCCCCATCATCAATACTTTCTCTTGCATATACTGGTATGCTACCATATAAAGGAAAAATATTGAAGATATTCTATGTTTTATATATAGGTTTATGTATTGGTGGGGATGTTTTTACTGTGCTGTTTTGGACAAAATAAAGAATTCTGTGTTGAGGCTACGTTCTTAACCCAACTAAGAGTGTTTACAAAGCCCTATATGAAAGTGATATATGCTACTTGTTCCAATATTTTTAGACATTGCCAAGTTTATTAAGAGCAATTATTATAGTTTTTACACAATGTAAGCAATAATGTAACAGATGAGAAGAGGCTATAAAATAATGACGTATGACTCATAAATTGGGGAGAGGGGGATTAAATCTTAACAAAAAACTAAAAACCCTAAATAATGAATATCATCTTTTTTGCTGCTAAAAAGTGAAATTTATATGATGCTCTAGGCTGAGGTATACTTTTCATCTGGTGCCATTAAAGTATCTCTGACTGATCTGAAATGGGTCCATGCCTAATGAACTTTTGTGTAACTTTTTTTCTATATATAAAATGTCCAAAGTTTAATATGAAAGCACCTGGTTGGATTAGAAAAAAGAAASAAATTACAGTCAGGACTTTGGGGGGTTTGGGGGTTTTTTTGAAGGGTGCAGAGTACTGGTGATTAAATGCTAAGCACATGCTCTACCACTGAGCTGCACCCTCTAGCCCTCATTTCTAGTTTTCTACCTTACTTATGAACCTGGCTTTTACCCATTTGCACACAAACACAGGTGTATCACCTTCATGAAATCAGCATATATAGGTTATAATGGGCTTCCACCATTTATGTTTCTACTCTGATAGATCTGAATTACTTTCCACAAAAAGACTGATACTTATATGATAGTGCTGTGTCTCAACTAGAAAGGTCAACAGCTTTTAATGTCATTGAAAACTGCTTACCAATAAATAATCTTAAAATTAATCTCAGAATCCTACATAAGGAAAATTATGACCAGGAATCATAATAAAAAGAAAAGGAGGGAAGTAAGAATTAAGAAATTTGTCGATTTATTGATTGAAAATATTGTAGCACATCCCCTATCCTGAAAATCCTACATAAAAGAGCCCTGCGCCAAACTGGGAGCTCCAAGGTATTCTTTTGGGGTTTGTTTGTGTTTTGTTGTTGTTGTTGTTGATAGACCTTTATTTGTTTATATGAAGTGCTGAGACTCAAATCCAGCACCTCACACATGCCAGGCAAATGCACTACCACTGAGCTAGAGCCCCAGCCCTCCAAGGTATTCTTAACTGTGCTCACAGTAAAGAATTATCATTACTAAGGATTCTTTCCCAGATGGAAATTTTAAATTTTCATTGTCTCATTACAAATAGTGTATATTTCAAAGTTTTATTGAAATTTGAATATACTGTGTGAAAACATCTGGTTAATTATCTATTGCCCAAATCTTACCAATACAGGTAACTGCTTATTATTTAACAAAGTGATAACAAAGGTCTTTTTCTACTTCAGTAAGGCTCTACTTTTTTCTTGATACATGGTTTAAGAATGTTTCATTTATGAATCTGTTTTAGAAAACAGAGCTGCAAAGGATGATTATATATGTAGTAGTATTTAGATTTATTTAAAATTTATTTTAAGAGAGGAATGTCTKAATATACAGTTTTTATGAGAACTTATGGAAACTATTGCAAAGGATGAAAGCCAGTTATATTGTCTCATCCATAGAAATTACCAGCATAACAAAACATAAAATATTACAGTTTAGAATATCTAAGCATAGGTGTCTTTCTCAAGGCTAAAGAGGGTAACTTTGTGATATTTAAGGGCTTAAATTTTAGAGTGCAAGATAATTTTCCTTTTAAAAACCAAGCATTTTATACAAGATAAGCTTTTATTTTCAATTTTTTAACTACCAAATAGATGTGATACACTTAGAAGTAAAGAAAGATATTCATGATAAAGGATATAGTAGCTCCTACATTCATTCTTCTCATTTCTGAAGGTATATTCTAACAGTCAACATCTAGCATGTCAGAAATTCTAATTCAGAAACAACTTATACTGATTTGGGGGTTTGTTTTGTTTTTGTTTTTATTTTTGCATTTTTAAATTTTCTACAAATGGGTGCAGATGGAGATTAACATCCACAATTTTTAACATGGATTTTTCACTGAAAAAAAAAACATATACTAAAGTGTTTAACCTCATTCATTCTTTTTTTTTTTTCATTCAACAACCATTCTGGTTTACAGTAATTAGGTTTCATGTTATAACACATGCCCTTTGGTTTTAAAAACAAACCAAAAAAAAAAAAAAAAGCCTTTCATTTTGTTAAAATATTTTACCAAATGGAATGAGCTAGTCCACATATCTGTTGTATTTAAATCAGTGATAACACAGTTACCCTCTTACTACTGAGCCAGACTCTCCCAGTCTACACATGGTTCCCTGAGAACCTTTAGAAGCTATATTAAATATTTCAKTCTTTTCTCTCTCCTTATTTTATTGTCTTATCTTAGTCTAAATAGAGGTCAGTTATCTAATTTAGTGACTTTTACTTAGAAGATTCTCAATTKTGTTTTAGACTATTTTTTAGTTTTATAGTCCCTGAAAAAATACATTACGATATGATGTAATGGCAATTCTATACTGGTATACCACAGAGAGAAAATTACTATCACCTATTGAATGAACAGTCCTAAAAATTTTTATATTTTAACTGAAAGGAGTTTGAAATAAAGTTCACATTTGGAAGGAACAAACCCCAACTTGCTAAAAGAAAATAAATGTGGTTTTCACTGTAAATTATTGACATAAGATGCCTTATTTATAATATATTTAGATTTTAAAAGTTATTGGRAAGAGACTGTGTAGAAACCAGATTTTCTTTTCTGAAGCAGTACAAAACAGTGAAGCTGTTATGAACATGTCTGAGGAATATTTATAGATAAGCATATTCTTAGGCTTAAGATTGTCAAATTTAAGTTGTATTTTGTTTATACCCATTTTTATCTTTGTGTCATTTTTTTCTTGATAGAATGTGATGATATAGGGTGTTTTTATTTGAAAAGTCCTCAGCAAGACAAATTAGCCAAAAACGATAAAACAATGAATTGAAATTGAACCAGTCCTCAGCTTTGGCTAAGGAATGCTTTATTGACCTTAGATTATAGATATGTTGAGATTCTTATTATTGTATTTATGGGGAATTAAACCCTACGTCAGGTAGGGAATGAAGACAATACCAATTACATCAAGAATCATGGTCTTATTTTTATGATAGAAAATTAGTTCTGTGTTTTTAAAAATAGTCTCTGCAATGATTTCAGACAATGTTATTRGAATCTGTGTTTGGCAGTATCTGAAAAAATGAGACTGCTTTAAAGTGTTTGTGCTACTTTGAGCTCCCTCTCTACAGGACCCAGACCAGTTCCAGCTAATACCAAGGTTCCTGTGTACATAGTAGTTTACAAAGAACTTAAAGAGTTCAAACCATGAATTGAAAACAAAAACTTTTTTAAAAATATAAAAACTTTAATTTTTTTTTTATTTTAGTTTAAAAGTGCCTGGTTTATAAAATCAAATTCTTTATTTCCTTTCTCTTTTAAATGGACTAAGTTTGTTGATCAGGCTGAAAGCCATGGGCTCAGCTGTGATGATTTGATACAGTTGCTGCTTAATTATTTGAGGAGCTAGTGTCATGACTTYTATTAAACTGTTCTTGTTTTCCAAATACTAGCCTAATCATACCCAGATTTTATTCAGTAAAACATGTTAAAACTCATAAACGAAAGCTTAGGTTATGAAAGTCCATCACCTGCAAAAGGACAAATCTTTCCTACTCCARGAGAAGCCTGTCATCTCCAAATACATGTCGAGTCCTTGATATTATTGAAGACTTTTGTGCAGATCTTAGAAATACCTGCTTTCCAGAGGGAACCTTTCCTATGATTATGTTATGAGTGTGTTCTCTAGATTTCTTTTTGTTTGAAGTATCAATTTAATTTTCAAGTTGACGGATACTATGTAAAGTCTCTCATACTGAGAGTAGTCCACTAAATTTTTGAAAGTTGCACTACTTTTCATCTTTCAAGTACCTGAAATGAATGACATCAGGTATTTGGAAGGAGTAAGATCATTAACCTATTAATTATCTTCCTTGTACAAAGTGATGGCTTCTAATTCTTCTACTTCAAGATATATTTTAGGAAAACAACCACCCCTGGTAGAGTAAAATTTGATTTTGATTCAAGTTCCCAATAATATATAATTTTTCTGTTGTTACTGGTGCCTCGTGTGGCATCAGATAGAGATTGCCTGCCTCTTTGTAGGGCACCCTTGTGGCACCTTATGTCTGACTTGGAGGATAGTATATGGCTTCTTTGTGCCACTACTGTCTTTTCAAAAGCCATTTTATAAAAATCCTAGGTAGCCTATTTTAATATTTAAATATATATATTTGTGAAAGATACTTTTAGAACAGACTTTTTTTTTTTTTAGTTTAAAATTCTAGTATTCCCCTTTTTAAGAGTAAATTTAAGCTTTTCCAGAATTAGGAAGTGTCTTTTTTCAGAGCAGCATAAGAGAAAGTTTGCAGTAACAGGCCAGGAGTCAGTGATAAAAGAAATTCATAAGGGGTACAGATTTAAAGGGGGGAAATTGCTTTGCTGTTACAGAAATGGATTTTTAAATAAAATTGTGTTTTTGTTTGTGTGATTTCATATTTGCTGCTATAGTAGCTCAATATATTACAGGGCTAACAAATAAACCTGGCTTCATTTAAAAACTGGAGTCCTTTCTAATGCAAGCAGCCTAGGAAGAGACTGTATCACAGTCTTCCAGAGGGTGACTGATTGCTCTGTGTAACTGATGCATGCTTTAATATTTGTCTATAACTCAGCAGCAAGGAAGTCTTGGGGAAACTTTTTACCCTGCTGTCTATAACATGATTCTTTTGGGAGCACTGGCGTCTTGTGAAACCCTCAAGGAAGGGTAATGCTGGRGAGAAAATGTGAATTAATTACATAGATGGTGTCTTTATGTCCTCCACTCCTCTCCTAGGACCAGTACAACTCTTCAGCTGTGCCAGTCCCTGATTCACCAGCTTGTATCCAGTTGTCATCTCATTCAAGTATGGCTTTACTTGGTGACAGTGGCCATAGCTAAGTTACTTGGCATGTTTGACTTTTGACAAAAACAAAAATGGTTTTGGATTTTATTTCATTTCCTAAAAATGTATACAATGTCAGAGCTTCACATTTTATATACTAGTATCCGGCTATTAGTATTTTACAGGAACCATAGTTCTTGGTGACTACATATATATATATATATATATATATTTTTGTGACTTTTGTAAACTAAGTGCCGTTTAAACGTTACAATCATTTTTAGAGTTATTGTAATCAATGTGAATATCATGGTTTTTCAAATCTGTTCTGAGCCTATAGTGTTTGCTTTGTGAACATATGTGTATTGTATATATCCTGTATAGTTATATTGTACTGAAATATTAGCTTGTTTGATATAAGGAAAGTATGTATTGAGTACCTTTTTGCTAGCCTGATTKTTWAWYYTTTTTTWAAAASGTTTAAACTTAAAAAAAAAAATCTTCAAACTGGCCTTTATTACATGGTCACAAACAAAGTTGCAGTTAGAAAGGATGGACAGGGAAAAAAACAGTTTTGAGTGTCTTTGCATAGAAATATGAGAGTAAGATTTGTTTTTGTTTTTGTTTTTTTCTCATTAAAATATCTTATTAATGCTTTATGGAATAAGACTTCCTGCTGTTGTTATTTATTATTGGCTGGAAGGAAGAATTGGCAGTTTTGTTTAAGGTCAAATGGATGAGGGAAATCAACAATATTCACTGCCTAATATCCAGTGTGTGTGTGTGTGTGTGTGTGTGTGTGTGTGTGTGTGTGTGTGTGTACGGACTATAGAGAATATTGGACAGCATGCATCAGTTTCCTGGTCAAGTAAGAAAAGAGCTGTAAGTGCAGATTTTTCATAACACCAAACCCAAGATTGGGAGGGGCTATCAAGGACACTGGTTAGAGGAAGTCATCAGGTCCTGGAGCTTTGAACTGGCTTCCTGTGAAAAGCTATTTAATGAATGATGGGTTGCCTCTTATAGACATTGCTCTGAGTTTTTCTGAAATATTTCATACTTAATAATGACTAGAGACCTATTGTTGTCATTTCAGTGATAAGTTAAACAGGGATGTATAGGTACATRGCAAGGAAAGCAGTCCCATAACTTAGGTAAGTAGCCTATGAGAGCCAAAAGGAAGGGCTTTCTTTTTAACTTTTTTAGTTATAGATGG